CGACTGAGTAACTAAGTTTAGCTGTTTCAAAACTATTGATAGAGTTACTGAGAAGTGCATGGAAATTAGCTGGGAAAGTCTTTAGCAGACAACAGCTGAGGAAGTTTTGAGTCTTGAAATGAATTCATATGGTATTAGGAGGAGCAAATGAGAGTAGAACTAAGAAAGTAAGCAGACTGATAACTATGATATAATAACAATATATTGTCATATCAGTTATTAAGATTCAAATAGAAATGCAAGCCATAGTAAAACTCAGCTGAGAGTTTCTTTATCTCTAGCTAATACTTTTTTAATGATTTCCAGTCTAGAAATCTCCTTATGTTTCTAATGCATTCGGCTTAAAAACGATCCACTATGCGTTTTTTAAACGACTTTCTCGTGACTTCTGTCGCTTGGCCTGCGGTCAATTAGCCAAAACTGAAATTCGGTACGTGCTACTGTAGCAGGAATATATCTGGAAATTTCGCAGCCGGCGTCGCTCTTAATGATTGTCCGGGCCAAGGACGCGATTTCAGAGCAAACGTTGTGTCCGAAGTTTTCCGCTAATTAAAAAAGGTGACTTCGATTTGCTTAGGGAAATGTGTGAAAACTGCTAATGCGCACGTAGCCAGCGCCAGAGGAAAAGGCAAAGGGAGGGAAGAGGAACGTGTGTTGCCTGTTCGCTTGGGTTATGCGCAGCTGGCTGCTTAATAAATTTGCGGTCTTCCCGCCCCGAAAAAAGAAATGACATGCGGCAGCCAGGACATGCAAGCGAATTTCCACATTTACCTGAGACGCTTTTCCAGGTAGAGCAGCAAGCACAGACCAGGTAGAAGACACGAACAAAGAGACTTGCGCAGCCGGCAGATTGACAGTTTTGCTCAGCTGCTCGGCATTTTCAATTTCCTCCTATAAATGGGAAGCGCCGCTGCGTCCGGCAGCTAGAAGTAAAACAGCACGCGATCGTGATAGATCTTAGATCCTTAGCTGCATAGCAACTACGACCAAAATTTAACATAGTTAACCATATCGAATAAACCTACTAAGTCCAGGTTGGCAGCTCGAGAAGATTTCAATAGCCATCAGCAACTAACTCCAGTCTCTGTGTTTGCGCTACTTTCAGAATTCCCATAGAGTTCTCTAAAGTAAATCACACCAAGTTCAACAAACAGCAAACACTGCACGATGGGTGAGCTCGAGGAGAAGGAAACGCCACAGACTGAAACGCAAGCGGCACAGGAAACGCTTGAGGAGCCCAAGGAGACGGACAAAATGCTGGACAGCAAGAAGGACGAACCCAAAGAGAAAACGCCCAGTCCACAGACATCGAAGCCAGCAACGCCAAATGCAGGCAAAAAGTCGCCGGTGCCGGCGCCGCAAGGCAATTCTGCCGAGAAAGCAGCTGGCGAGGAAATCATAGACATACCCGCAGAGAATGGCAACAAGCCCAATGGCGCTGGGTCCGACAGCGATGAGAAGAAAATCAGCAAGGAGGAGCGCGAAGTGAAGCCGAAGAAAATACCAATTGGTGGCTTGAAGCTGCCTGGCTTCTTCATGAAGAACAAGCCCAAGGCGGAGGGCGATGGTGCCGAGGGCGAGCTGCTCGAGAAGGACAAAGAGCAGGCGGAGGAGAAGGAGGCCAACGGTGATGCTGCGGCAGCAACAGCTGGCAAGGAGGGAGAGCAAAAGCCACGACCTGGTCTTGGCCAGCGTTTGCGCAATTTTTTTGTGCGCAAACCAGCAGCTGACAAGGAACAGCAAAAGAAGCAACTGACCAATGGCGATGCGGATGCCAAGTCGGGTAAGTAGAGAGCAAATGGCACCAGCCCATAAGTCGCTAACAAACCATATTCCACACAGAAGCCACAGCTGAAGCAGCGGCTGCAGAGGATGCAGATCCTCCACCAAAACGTGGCCTACTCAATGCCATCAAGCTGCCCATTGCTAACATGATACCCAAAAAGCGAGGCGGTGACGATGTGGAATTGGGTCTTGGTAAGGCTGGACTGGCCTCAATGGAGACACTGGATGATTCGCTTAAGGATCAGGACACCGTAGATCGTGCGCCGCTCAAGAGCAATGGCGCCGATGAGCTGAAGAGCGAGCTCAAGGATGAGAAACTGGCTGCTGAGCAAAAATTGGCCGCTGAGGAGGAGGAAAGGGAGCGCCCCGTCTCGCTGTGGTGCCGCCTGCGTGGCTACAAATGCAGCGTAGATGATGCGCTGATCGTGTTTGGCATTCTTCTGTTCATGCTGCTGCTCGGCGTGATTGGCTATGTGCTCACCCACGAGACGATGACGTCGCCACCGTTGCGCGATGGTCGCTACATCTCCACCGTCACCGGTTGTGGCTTGGTCGAGGGTGTCAAGGATGATGGCGCATTCGCCTTCCGTGGCATTCCATACGCCAAGGCGCCATTGGATGAGCTGCGCTGGCGCCCGGCACAATTGATCGAACAGATCGACGACTGCTGGAACGGCACACTGCAGACGCACAATCGAAGCACCGTCTGCACGCAGCGCCTGGGCAATGGCACAACAATTGGCGATGAGGATTGTCTCTATTTGGACGTGGTGACGCCGCATGTTCGTTATGAGAATCTGCTGCCTGTGGTGGTGCTCATTGGCGCCGATACGCTGGCTGGTCCCTCCCCTGGAATTTTACGCCCCTCAGCACGCTATTCGCGTTCCCATGATGTGATCTTTGTGCGTCCGAACTTCCGTTTGGGTGTCTTTGGTTTCCTTGCGGTCGAAGCCCTCACCAAGGAATCACATCCGCACACCTCGGGCAACTATGCGCTCACCGACATCATTGCCGTGCTCAAGTGGATCCAGCTGAACATTCGGAATTTCGGTGGTAATCCACAGTCGGTGACTCTGCTGGGTCATCGTGCCGGAGCGACGCTCGTCTCGGCTTTGGTCAGCTCGAACAAGCTGGAGGGTCTGTATACGCGTGCCTGGGCTTCGTCTGCGTCAGCCATTTTCCCGGGAAAGCCGCTGCATGAATCGGAACGTTTGAATCAGCAGATCATGGCCACTTTGGACTGCCAGGATGCGGCGTGCTTGCGTGAAGCATCCAGCGAGAAATTGTGGGCTGCCACGCCAGATACATGGTTCCAATTCCCAGCCACGCTGCCCCAAGCACAGGAGTTGACCAACGCCAATCGTCACGAGTGGCTGGTGCTGGATGGTGATGTACTGTATCAGCATCCCTCCGAGTCCTGGAAACAGGTGCCGATCCAAACCAATGCCAATCAGCTGCAGCAGCCACGCCTTGTGATGGGCGCCACGGCTCACGAGGCACACACCTTGAAGCTGCGCGAATTGCACGCCAACTGGACTGCCGAGGAGGTGCGCTCATACCTACAAAACTCGCAACTGGGCGCACTTGGCTTAACCGATGAGATTATCAAACGTTACAATGCCACCAACTATGCCGCCCTAGTGGCCATTATCACAGACATACGCACCGTTTGCCCGCTGTTGACGAATGCCCGCCTCCAGCCCACTGTGCCCTTCTATGTGGTCACCCAGGGCGAGGGCAACGATAAGCTGGCCACCGTGGATGCCGATGTGCAGGCCATCCTCGGACGCTATGAGCCCCATACCGTAGAGCAGCGGCGCTTTGTTTCGGCAATGCAGCAACTCTTCTACTACTATGTCTCCCATGGCACGGTGCAGTCCTTTGATACGCGTCGTCGCGTCATCATTGTGGAGCAGGATGCGCAGGCACAGGAGGATCACGATCACTGCAACTATTGGATCGGAAAGGATATTGTGCCGCGATTTGCGCGCGTCGATTAAGCAACGGAAATGTCCTTCCACATCGACCCCTACACCTAATCCTAATCCTAATCTTAATCCTAACCTCTATGACAATGTTCGACGGCTTATTAACAACTGTCCTGTAAAAGTTATTTTCTCTCTTTCTCTGACTTTGTTTCTGCCCCTTTTTAGAGTTTGTAATACTCTTTAGCTTTTCCAGTTTTTCCCGATTTCATTATCAGTTTAGTTTAGCCTAAGTGAATCTAGTGTTTATATACGAATGTACATTTAGTTTTCGACAATTATTTAAGTTGTAAGTTTTTTAAGTGTAACGCATAACTCCACAGCAGCAAAATGCATCTATGTATGCCTCTACTAAACATAAACATAAACATAAACATATAGATACATGCATATATCTATGATAATGTATTCTTTAATCTTAACAACACACTCGAAACACACACAAATAAAACACAACAAAATATATTTGAACATATACTTGAAAAGTATAGACAAAACTTCACGTCTTTCAACTATCCAACAAAACACACACACACACACTTTCACAAACTATAATAATTAGATATATATATATAAATATATATATATATCCCATATAGCTGGAGCGTTAAGCAAAACCTTTGACCAACGATCTTTTTTGATACAATTTTTACATAGAAATGGGGCGCCATAAAGACAAGACTCAACCAACAAACGATGAAGAATCAAACAATTTAGATTTCGTAAGGCCAACAAACAGGAGAACGCATCAAAAAAATTATTAAAATATATATTAATATATATATATATATATATACAAAAAGAAAATATATAAACGTGTATTTAACATTTGAGACTGTATGTACTATACATAGAGACAGATATGAACTATATAGAAAAAGAAAACTTGCACTTCATTTCGTTTCAAAATTCACTTGCCCAAAAACACAAATGATTTTCTATAGCTTTAAATGTATATTAGTCAAGTATTCAGCTAACTTATGTAAATTGAAAGACCATATTCATATTTTATATCGCCTCTCGCTGCATTTTTTTCATAAATGTTTTTTACTTTCCACACATACTCAAATATCAAAATGATTTAGGTAATCGTTCATGTAATTTGCACATTAAAACAAAACAAAATGCAATGAACTTTAATAATAATTAAACACAAAATTGAAAAAAAACTAGAATCAAAAAAGCTCTGCAAAAACATATAGCATTTAGCATTATGGTCAAGATCTGTGTGTTCACGTGATACAAATAATATTGATTAAATGAATATACTTCTATTTAAAGTTTGTGTCTGAAAAGCAAGCATGAGAATGTTTAAATAAAAAACCACAATGAAATATGACTCTTAATTGTTAAACCCTTTACTAATTACTATTCACTAAATAATTACAAATTACGTTTAAAAACATGGAATTGTCACAGCCTTGCCAACAGCAACAGGGAGCTCTCTCCTCAATTTCTGCTGCTGCTGTTAACCTTATAAATGCGACACTTGTTATCCGTTAGGGCGGCCAAATAGGAGCCAGCCGACGTGTTCACTGGACAGATGTCATAGACGACCTCATTCACCGGCATGGTTTGCACGCGCTCCTCTCTCCGTACATCGTACATCATTAGCTGCTTGTTGTCCTGCAAATAACCAACGACCAGCGTATTGTCTTCCACGCTTAGTTGTGTGGGTCGCGTCATATAGGGCGTGGCAGCGGACCCAAATATCGTTGCCTTCACTTGCAGCACTGGTATGCCGTCAATTTTGTCCAGCTTCGTGAGTATGAAGCGTGACTGCGGATACTGAGCATTCGAACGTGCTGAGAACAGCACTGTATCCTGAAGCACATCATATTGCATTGAAAGGAATGGTCCGTCGACATTGAGACGAGTGGATACGGCCGTATCACTGGCATACTCATAAAACTTCACTACGGTCAGCTGGCAGACCAGAAAGCCACCATTGCTGAACACCTTACCCGCGGGCACGGCAGCTATATTTATCACAGGACTAAAGTTTTCTGCAAATACGATAAGCATAGTTATAAAGACGTATCTAGGACATTAGTTACGTTAGTTAACTTACCCTCAGATTGAAACTGACTGAGGATCGTCTCCGGGAAGCGCATATCGAATATATAGACTCCACCTCTAAGGTCACCTGCATAGAGAAAATGTTCACGTTCGTTGCGATCTACGCCGCAAGACCAGAGCGGCTTATCATTGGCCGTGAACATGTTGCTGCAAAGGCGGGTGCGTATGTCGAAGGTCTTGATGCGGGTCTCTCGACTGGCCACGGTCAACAGACGCTGACTCTCGCTGAAGCCAATGTCTCGCACTAGCAACGCCGAGGTGTGCAGAAAGTGCAGCGGTTTGAAGCTTGGCGGATCGATAAAACGCACGCCGTAGCCCGGAAACAGATTCTGGGCACTCTTCTGCGAGGCAATCAACGTCGACTGTGGAACAGAGTAGAGCAGCACGCGGCAGCCGGGCTCTCGTGTTATCTCAAAGTTCTTCTCCATGTACAGTCGATGGCTGGCCAATTGGTTAATGCTCTTCAGTGTACTTCCACTGCCCAGCGCATCACCATAAGCTCCACGACAGTCACCACCCGCACGCACAATCTGACGCAGTCTCTCGTAGTCCAGCTGTAGGGCATTCATCTTGTTAATTGTCAATGAGTGCGACATTTTAATTGTGGCCAGCTCCGTGGTTAGTGCTTGAGTACGTCGACGTTCCGCATCCAGTTCCCTGCGCATATCATGCTCTTCCGTGCGGTCGATGGCTCGCAATCTTTTCGCATAGAGACAGCGTATGTCCCGATTGCTAGCCTTTGTCTTGCATTGTGGGCACACTTTAATTGCCGACTGTCGTTGACTCTCGATCAGCCAGCGCCGTATGCAGGACTCACCAAAGAGATGGCCGCAACGCAAGGAGACCAAACGATGCTCTCCGCTCATCTCCCATGACTCCAGACATATGGGGCACGTCATGCCGTCATCTTCAACGTCATCATTCGAGGATGGCTTAGCTACTGGCGTGCCTACTTCTTTGCTAGCCACATTGGACAGACGTTTACGTTTCTTAGGCGGCGATGGAGAGTCAAGATTTATGATGTCGCTTTCTTGCTGCTCGACTCTACGGGATGTTGAAGGGTGCTCAGCATTAGCTTCTTCTCCAGGAACCACCTCCTGTTCAACTGAAGGGACATCTGGCTGATCTATATTTTCTTCCTCATTGTCTGGAGTTCCAGGCTCCTCCGCCGCTTCAGGCTCATCCGCCACTTCAGGCTCTTCCGCCGCTTCCACCACTTCCGCCACTTCAGGCTCTTCCGCCGCATCAGACTCATCCGCCGCTTCAAGCTGATCAGCCTCTTCAGGCTCATCATTTTCTTCATCATCGAAAGGTAGCACATCTACACTGCGACGCTGCGCTGGCGGTTCTATTTCTTCCTGTTGCTCCTCAGGTACCACCTCAGCCATCTCTTCTAATTCACCTGGCTCTGAATTCTGAGATTGACCAATACGCTGAAGCCTGCGCGAACGAAGAAAAACCGGCTGAAAGTCCTGGCTGTCCGCATCTTGCTCAGTTGTATCCGAGTCACTGTCGCTCATGATGTCTTGTAAAATTGTATAAGCTTGATAAATGCTAGCCGGCAACGTTCAAATAAAAGTTAATGTTATTATGCCTCTATGGGTATAGCATTCTGTTGCATTTAATTGTTGTATTGCCGATTACGAAAAACATTGATAAAGCGCGTTGATTTTATATACATAAAGCTGCTACATCTGGCAACTCCAGAAATCTGGCAGCACTGTCTTCGACTTAAATGAGTAGATTGACGAAAGTATCGATATTGTGCGAAACATTTCGACGCTGCCGACGCCATTCATTTTTAGTTTTGTAAAGAAAAGAACGATTTCAACCACTTATTGGCAATAAAGTACAAATAAAACGCCAAACTCTGAGCGTGATCATTGTGAACGGAGTTTAATTTTGAATTGTATACTACTCTCGCTGTGCTTTAAACGAACTCCTTTGCCGGCAATTATATTGCATATTCCGGCAAATAAATTGCATCAGTATTAGTGACTGGATACAAATTGCAAACCCCCAGGAATACAGAGAAATATTTTCAAATATTTTGTAGCCGCCTAAACACGCAACACACTGCTTTTGGTAAGCGACAATTCGAGTACTTTTTTAAGCGCAACGCAATTTGCTGACTAACCGCTCTGTCCTTGAACTCGACAGACTTGGCTGCTGTCCATTTGAGTGAGAAATCTAAACACACGCGAAGCAAAGTGAAAGCCGACGCCGCCGACGCAACCAATTTAACTTCAACACATACAGTAATCATTCCTTTGCTGCTCCGCTAACAGGAAAAAAACACTAGCAATGGCCGAGGCAAAAACACCCGAAAAGATGCTTTCTACTAAACCGCCGGTCTATCATCAAAATAGCCATAGTCCAAATGCTACGCTCCAGCTGCCGAGCCCCATCATCACGCGGCGCACACGCACGGCCTCGACGTAAGTCGCCCCATCCCCAGCCCCCTCTCTCGCTCACTCTGCTTATAGCCTAGCATACCCGACCTTCTCATCTGGCATTGATTTAATTGTCTGCTCCTCCTTCTCCTTTTTGCTTGCACAAACACGCGCGCGCACTCGAACAAAAACAAAACCTACAACAACAAAAACAGGTCAGCGCGTGCGATGGAAAATCCAGTAGTGGCCGGCATTGTGAAATCCTTTAGCCGCACTAAAGGACACGGCTTCATCACGCCGCATGGCGGCGGCGAGGACGTTTTTTGCCATGTTTCCGAGTAAGTTCAATTAATACTCTCATTTCAAAGTTTTCTACACGCAATTTAACACAACCAAAATTATTTTGTAATAGCATCGAAGGCGAATATGTACCCATGCCTGGCGACGAGGTCAAATATCGCCTGTGCGCCATTCCGCCCAAGTTTGAGAAACACCAGGCAGTGCACGTGCAGATAAGCAATTTGACGCCCGAAGTGCACCACAAGTGGGAGGAGCCCGTCTTCTGTGGCTCTCCCGCCAAATAGATACTCTCGTCTGTAACGGCCTTCCACAGAATTTAATTAACTGGAGCACGCAGCAAATGAAAACAATATAAATAAAAAACAGTTGGTAAACGAACGCCGATCAAGACAAACACAAAAAGATAAAAACAGAACAGTAAATGAAGCATACAAAACGACTTAATCAATCATACGCCACACAGCCAGCCAGCCAGCCAGTTTCAATTAAAAGTCTTTATTATTATTAAGCTAAGCAAAAATATATATTTAACTTGTGTCACAATTGTGTTAGACTTTTTTGAAAAGACCAGTTTGAAGATTTGAAATGGATTCGTCTTGAAATCTGAAATATTGTTATTTAAGATCGAAAGATATTGATTTGGAGCCTGTAACAGTATATGAATACTTAATTTTTGATCATATTGAATTATTTAATTTGTAAAAGCAAAGCAAAGCAATTAATCAATTGCCCGAATATCTTTAATACAAAAAAAATATATCTATAAAAGCTAAAACTTTCAATATTTGTGTTATGTTTGTTTGCTAATGGGGTAATTGTCTTATCAGCGCATGCAAGATGCTGTGTGCTATCATATGTGTATGTACGTCTCGGTTTTTCGACGTCGCTAAATATATTAAAGAGCAGAAAATGCTATCTGAAAACCGGTTGTGAAATGAGCTTTACAGGTGTATCGATTAATCGATACCATACCAGTAACTTTCGATACGTTCGATGTTGCTTGAGCAAACGCTGCTCTAAATATGAAAAGTACTTGAATTAAACGAAACGAACGTCAACAAACCATGCGCCACATCGTCACACAATGATATAAAGCGCAGAATTGAATTTGATTAAATATATTTGAAGTTAGGTTTAGAAGGCGTTTAAAAAAAATTAGTTTTATTTTGGAAACGCGTTGCTAACATTAGCCGCCTTTAACTGACGTGGACCTGCAGCCGTTGTTGTTTTTTTATTTTACTGCTGATTAGGGAGGCAGCTGAAGGTGAGGTGAAATCAAATAATGAGTTAAAACATGCATAGCACATTTCATTGTTTCACTGTATGCAGGCAACAACATGTCCGCTCGCCGCCGGGGTCAAGCGCAAGACGAGCAAAAGCTCGTCGAGTCTATGGCGCAAGGAGACAAAGAGGAGAAGCCCGATTTACGGGGCGATAGACGCAACATAGCCATATTGCTGTTCCTGTACGTGCTGCAAGGCATCCCCATTGGACTGATTGCTGCTGTGCCCATGCTGCTGCAGAATCGAGGTGCCAGCTACAAACAGCAAGCGGAATTCTCATTCGCCTATTGGCCATTCAGCATAAAGCTGTTGTGGGCGCCAATCGTGGACTCGCTGTATGTGCGTCGTTTCGGTCGTCGCAAATCGTGGTTAGTGCCTGTGCAGTATCTGTTGGGCGGTTTTATGCTGCTGCTGTCTGCGCACGTAGATCGCTGGCTGGGTGGCAACAACCTGGAACCCAACGTGCCGCTGCTAACACTGTTGTTTTTTGTGCTGAACTTTTTGGCCGCCACACAGGATATTGCTGTCGATGGCTGGGCATTGACCATGCTTAAACGTTGCAATGTGGGCTACGCTTCCACCTGCAATAGTGTGGGCCAAACGGCTGGCTACTTTTTGGGCTATGTGGTGTTTATTGCTCTCGAATCGAAGGACTTTTGCAACACATATTTGCGCTCCACTCCAGAGGATGTGGGCATGATTACGCTGCCACGTTTCCTCTGGTTCTGGGGCATCACGTTCATCGTGGCAACTACGCTGGTGGCGATATTTAAACGGGAGAACGACGTTGAGGATGCTCACACCGACGCACGCTACACGGAGGAACACGAACTTAACATTCACGAGAGCTACAAAGTTCTCTGGGACATGGTTCGCAAGCGACCCGTACAGATTTTAGCTGGTATTCTTCTGACTGTGAAAGTGACTTTTGCTGCGTCCGATGCGGTTACCTCATTAAAACTGATCGATGCCGGCGTACCAAAGGAGAAGTTGGCTCTGCTGGCTATTCCCGTGATTCCACTACAGCTTATCTTACCTATCTTAGTGGGCAAATATACCAACGGACCCCGTCCATTGGATGTGTACCTAAAGGCAATACCTTATCGTATAGTATTAGCGAGTGTAGCCTCGATCATTGCGTATGCGACGCCTTATTTGATTTCCGGCGGCGAGGTGCCCGTCTACTACTATGTGCTTCTAATCATTAGCTATGGCTGTTATCAGGTATTTCTGTACTCTATGTTTGTGGCCGCTATGGCATTCTTTGCCAAGATCTCGGATCCCGCCGTTGGTGGCACCTACATGACATTCCTTAATACACTATGCAATCTTGGTGGCAATTGGCCAAATACGGTGGTACTTTGGTTAGTAGATGTGCTAACCGTAAAGCAGTGCACCACACAATCTGAGAATCCCTGCGAGAATAAGGAAGAACAGCAGGCAAGTGTCCTCGCAGCCTATCTATCTGCAGATTCACTAATGTCCCTTTTTCCTTTCAGGCCTGTATCACTTCTGCGGGCTCGTGTAAAATTATATTTGATGGCTACTACTTGGAAGCGGCGGTGTGCGTGGTATATGGCATTATTTGGCTGCTGGTGGTGCGCAAGTGGATAGTCCATCTGCAGAATCTGCCCACAAGTGCCTGGATGGTAGTCAAGCCATCTGCAGCCAAGCATAAATTGCGGTAGCAATTAATCGTCTGATCTTCATTTTGCGCTACGCGCACAATCATTGGTACAAGAAGCTATACATAGAAATCTAGGACTAGGACTAGGACCTCGTGCATTGTAGGCTAGGCGAAATGTAAATTGTTTATAAGCCACGCCCATCTCCTCCGTATTGTTTTATATTACTTAATATTCCACATGGAAATAAAATCAAATTCAATGTTGAGCATATAAAACAGATCTGCACGTATATGTTTGTGGGTAACAAGAAGGGGTATTCCGGCTGCGAAAAGAGATGTCGTTTTATTCGCGCCATGTGACGTGACGTTAGTTTTTTTATAAATGTTGGTTGGCATTGGAGCCTACTTTTTGAAATACAAAATTACGAGTTTATCTTATGCTTAATAGTACTTCCAGGAGTCAATGGATTCTTGGTTCTTTTGTTTGCTCTTGCGCTCAATCAGACCTGCCAAATGCTCTGAACGCATAGACAGCGAGTCAATCTTCTCCACCAGCTGCTGATACGGGCTCAGTGGCTGTGTACCCATTACGACATGGCCTAGTTTCGAATCAATCTTTGCATTTAGACGAGCATTGCGTATCAAATTGACAATCCAGCATTCGGCCTCGTTGGGTTTCATGTTCAGCTTGTCGGCGAGCATGCTGATGGTGATGCACTGATGGATGCGACAGAATGTTTCGAAGATCATTAGACGCGCATCCTCCACAAACTCGTTGAGGCAGGCGACAATGAAGAAGTCATTCAAAATGACTGTTTGGCACTCGTGCAACTTGAGGCGTGCGCCCTCAAAATCGAAATTTACGTAAAGACACTCGAGGAACTCGGTGATGGGATCACGATACGTGTACGACTCTTGCTGTATAACCTTAATCAAATCCTTGAGCGCATTGCGACGAGTGCGATTGATGACCACGGCGGTGGCCAAATAACGCATTATGTGTGGGCACATCGTCTGTATAGCATTCAGATAGAGCGGCTTATACAGGAACATCTCGATGATGAGGTCGCGGCCCTTTGGATGATTGAAGAACACCAACACGGACCAGTGGATTAACCAAGTGCGTTGCTGCAGTGCCTGAATGGTCGAGAAATTGGCGCTATCAATGTAATCACGAAGGCGCGTCAAATCCTCCAATGCAGTATTCCAGTTGAGAGTGAGAATCTCAGCGGCCAGCTTGCCCCACAGCACATTCAGATAGTTCTGGAAGGATGAAAAATAAGACACCAATGCGAACGATAAATGCACTTTACTCACCTTATCATTGGGCGACATGACAATAAGGCAGAAATACAAGTACGATGTCGATTCCTGGTAGTTACCGCATTCATACAAGTACTTAGCCAACTTGTAAGCGCTCTCCAGGTGCTCCACCTTGAAGTTGTAGTCCTTCTGCAGGGCATTCACAAAGGTCTTCGAGTCCTTCATGCTCTCGCCGTTTTTCAAAATGTCGGTGGCCTTCATGATGGGTGCCACCTCGTTTTGTAGTTGCTTCAATGTAGCTAACACCTCGGCTTTGCGCTGAACAAGCTCATCCGGCATCTCCTGGCTGAGATTGAGACGCTTGCGTGTGTCCATGGTGTAATCGATCATGTTCGTCTTGTTCACCGTCTCCAGAATGTACTCCAGCAACTCCTGCTGATTGTAGATCTGCAGAATGTACATGAAAAACCAACAATATTAGTAGTTTCAGAAGAATTAGCCATTTGATGACGGTGACACGAAGCAATGAATTTTTCTAACCTCCTTGCCGCATAAAAACTCCAGCAGTGGAAAAGTCAAATGTCTGTCCAGATATTGACAATTGATGCGTGTTAGATCGAATTGTGCCATGATTGCTACTGTATTTTCACTATTTTCACAACAAATTACTATTAATTTCCACAAGAAATCTGCACAAAAATACGCGTGCGAAAGACGCACAGTGCTGCCCTATGGCGAAAAGAAATGTTGTTTTTATGTTTTAAGCATGTATACACTGACAGTAGGCAACATTGTTTTGGAGTATCGATATCTAGTCTAGTATGCGATATTCTACATATATCGATGTAGTAAATGATACCATAGCAGTCAGCTTTCAAATTGATAACATTTACGCGCCAAATAAAAGGCTTCTTGAATTTTTGTTTGCAACACTTTAATATATTTAATACTTCACCATTTAATTTCACATATATGTTTGTATATAGAAGGTGTATATTGTAGTGAATAGTAAGCTTGTTAAATATATATATATATATAGATATATACATATATCTATGGATTAATAATGGTATCTTGCCAAAGGGTCATTAAACATACGGCTTTAAAAATACCAATATTTGTGTTTTGTTAATACATATTGTAAATAGTTTATAGGTACTTTGCAATTAACGATCATCAGTTGTAGCTCCAAAAACAAACAACACCTACAAATGCAATTTGATATAAGCTGAGAAGACTGCAGATATATAAATATACGTGTTCAGTGCAATAATTACTTATAATTTTGTTAATTGAGATTTTGTTAATTAATTGAAGCTTGGCCTAAACAACTCTCGAAATATAAAGCGAGTAAGTACAATATCTATATGAAACACAAATATATATATTATGTGATATAGGTTTTTGTTGTTGATGTTTATAACGCGTTAACGGTTAATTTCTAGTTATTGTCCTTGAATTTGGATATATTTTTTTAGACCCAAAATATACGAGTTCTGGGATTTTCGACACATTTTGTTTCGCACTCATAATTGACTTTCTCTCTCTTATTCTCTATCAAACAAAGTCTTGGAGGGCATCGCAACCGCTGGACTGGCCAGCAGCGCATTGTGGGCGTGGCGTCGCCAAAAAATAAAACGATAATTAAAAGGTGTTTAATATGTAGTGTAAAAAACTGAAGTCTTTTTTAGAGTAAACTAAACTAAAATCGCGAAAATAAAAATCACAAATTGCAAATCGGCTTTCACAACGAAAACCATACGAATTTTTCTATGCTAAGGACGACGCACGCAAACAGACAGAAGATAGACACCCCGCATCACCATCCAGCATCAGCATCATCAGGTACTTAGAATCTGGGTACTGTTGGATCAATGACACCGCCAGGTCCGGGCAATCCGCTGGGTTTGCCCGTTAGGTAGGAATCCACTTGACGCGCAGCCTGACGACCCTCAGTAATGGCCCATACCACCAACGACTGACCTCGACGGCAATCTGTAAAGCAGGAAATTTTAATTTTTAACTGTTTCCATGTCATCTCAATCAGTTCAATCACTTACCGCCTGCTGCGAACACCTTTGGATTGGAGGTGCCATACTGTCCATTGCATGCCTTTATGTTGCCGCGAGGATCCAGCTCCAAGCCCAGCTCGCTTGGCACCGTCTTCTCAGGTCCAAGGAAGCCCATGGCCAACAGAATCAGATCAGCTGGAAAGTATTTCTCCGAGCCGGCCACCTCCTGCATGCGCCACTGACCCGTTTCTGTCTTGGTCCACTCGACCTCGACAGTGTGGACTCCCTTAACGTGGCCATTCTCACCGACAAACTCTTTGGTTGTGGTGCAGTATTGGCGGGGATCTTTGCCCCATTTGAGGCGAACCTCCTCATGACCATAGTCCACACGGAATACCTTGGGCCACTGTGGCCAGGGATTGTCCTCGGCACGCTTCGATGGCGGCTCCGGCAATATCTCGAATGTGGTAATGCTCTTAGCGCCCTGTCGCAATGATGTTGCAATGCAATCGCATCCGGTGTCGCCACCGCCAATTATGATGACATCCTTGCCCTCAGCCGAAATGATTTCCTTCTTGCCGCCCAGCTGCTTTTTCTGCTGCGCCTCGAGGAACTCCATAGCAAAGTGAATGCCCTGCAAATCGCGATTGGCCAAAGGTAAATCTCGCGGCCAGGTGGAGCCAGTGGTCAGCATGACCGCATCATAGCTGGTAGTGGAAATGGTGTTATTCAGAATTTCAATAAGACTCCACAAATTTAAAGAAATATATACCTCTGCACCAACTTCTCTGCGCTGGTGTCCTTGCCAATGTGCACATTGGTGCGGAACTCAATGCCCTCATCGGCCATGAGATCCACACGTCGCTTTACCACGTCCTTGGACAGCTTCATTGTTGGAATTCCGTACTGTAGCAGACCTCCGACACGATCGTTGCGCTCGAAGACCGTAACAAAGTGTCCGGCACGGTTGAGCTGCTGAGCAGCTGCCAGGCCAGAGGGACCGGAGCCCACAATGGCCACTCGCTTGCCGGTGCGGGTCTCTGGTATCTCAGGCTTGATCCAGCCCTGTTCAAAGGCATGATCGATTATGGCGCACTCGATATTCTTGATGGTTACTGCCGGTTCCGAGATGCCTAGCACGCAGGAGCCCTCGCAGGGAGCTGGGCAGACGCGACCCGTAAATTCTGGGAAATTGTTGGTCTGGAGCAGCTGTCGCAAGGCTTCCTGCCATTCGCCATGGAAGACCAGATCGTTCCACTTGGGTATGATGTTGCCTAAAGGACAGCCCGTGGAATTCGACTGACAGAATGGTACACCACACTCCATACAACGGGCGGCCTGCATCTTCAGGTTCTTTCGCACATGTGGGAAATTGTAGACCTCATCCCAATCCTGCTGGCGAGCTCCTGCATCACGATATGGAGCCGCCTCGCGCTTGTATTTGACAAAGCCACGCAGCTTGTCCAGCACACGGTCTGCACGCTTCTGCTCCAGGGCCACATCCTGTATGGCTTCTTCGATGTCCTTGATGTGCGGTTCGTGTTTACCGTTGCCATTCTCAACGGCAGCCACCTTGGCTGACTGCTGCTGTGCCGCCTGCTCGGCCATGTCCTTGAGAGCCTTCTGATATTCGTATGGGAAAACCTTGACGAATTTCGACTGCTCTTGCGCCCAGTTATCGAGCAGCTCCTTGGCCACCTTCGAGTCGGTTTTCTCAATGAAGTCAGCCAGGAGCTGCTTCACCAACGACACATCTTCGTCCAACTGCAGCGGCAACAGCTCTACAGATTCTGGATTGACCTTGGGCTTGAACGAACCATCAATATCATAGACATAGGCAATGCCACCGGACATGCCCGCTGCGAAATTGCGTCCAGTCAAGCCAAGGATAACAACCAATCCACCAGTCATGTATTCGCAGCCATGATCACCCACACCTTCCACGACAGCAGTCACGCCTGAATTACGAACACAGAACCGCTCAGCAGCTATGCC